CCATGATGGAGCTGCTCCTTGGTGGCAAAGTTCATCCTCTTGCCGCCGCATTAAGCATTGTGGATCATCATGGTAAGGCTACATTTCTTCCTCCATCATTTGATCTAGATCTTTAAATGTAGGAAGTTCCGTTTGTCGTGGTTTTCGAATTTTTCGTCATTGTATTTTTCCCTTACCTCTATTCAAAGAATTAAAAATTCTAGGAATAAAAAAGAGAAAAATTTACGAACAAACGAGAAATAGGAAACTTTGAATGCAAGAGTCTTCTTCGAGCGTGTGAATCAAGACTCTCAATGAAAGCACCAATTTGTGGATGCAAATTTCTGTTGTCTTCTCCTTTGACCAAAATGCAGCTGCAAAATAATAAAACTAAAAGCCTCACGCGCCCACGATGAATTTAGGGGGTTGGGGGGGGGCTTTGGCCGAAGAATCTTCGATGCCAAAGTTAGAATTCTAAAAAGAATGTGTTTAGGAGTTTTTGGGTAGCAAATGACTTAGCTTTTTGGTGGGACAATAGGGCTATTTATAGGGGAGTGGCCAGCCATATATGATGAAATTGTGTGAATAATTGCAAGATATTATGTGAAATAATATCTTGCAATTAACACGGCAATTAATCCTAAATTAAATAGGAAAATTGGGAGTTACGTTTTGAATAAGGGTTTGATGAGGAGTGATGAGAGGGATTCGAATGAATATCATTTTAATCACCTTTGACTCTTTCTTGATTGAGCCGTGTTGTCTATTACATGTGCATGTGAATCCCGGTTGGCCTCGAGGGTAGTTTTGTCTTTTTCACCTAAAAGTCCACGTGTCGCTTCCATAATTTTCTTGATTATTTTTGGCTCCATGATCATATCTTTTGTTTTCATTAAAATAGATTTTCTATCCCTAATTCGAATTTCCAAATTTGAAGGTATTATATGTTGGTTATTTTAAATATTTTTATTTTATTTTATTTTAAAGATTCAAAATTTATTATTTTATTTATTTTTAATATCTAAGAGTTGTGTTTTATTTGAAGAGTTATAATCCTTTTTGAAGGGTTTTGAGGAGTTCTTTAAATAAGAAACCTCATACCAGGTTCTTTAAATAAGAAACCTCATACCAAAAAAAAGAACATGTTGAAACTATTCAATCTCCTTCACTTCTTACATTTCTATCGTCTTCAATTTATATTCTTACAATCCTTGTTTTGTAATTCTTGGGCAATTGATCACTACTTGGCAATCTCGTCTGCTGTCGATGTGCATAATGGATCAGATATCCTGTAAGGTTTTGGGTTGTATTTTGGAGTTGTAGGCACCTTCATAACCTGCATGTGGGAAGACGTCTACATCTTTAGAGGAGGGATATCGCGCCTCTCTTCTGTTCACGAACCATAAGGGTTTAGGGTTTAGGGTTAGGGTTTAGGGTTTAGGGTTTAGGGTTTAGGATTATCAGTGTACTATTCCAATGATTTGTTAAATCTAAGAGTAGTCAATCCGTCGAGCATACTGAAGTATTTTAGAGATACGACAAGCTCCCACATCAAGAGTGTTGATATTTGTGACTCAAATCTTGTATCCTGCTTTTACGTCGGAGGTCGGATAGACCTTCTTCTTAGGAACGTACCGCAACTTATTGACGTAACCATTTGTGTTGACAATGATGGATTCGTAGAGGCTGCCTTCAATCAACTCCCATGTTGGTTTTCTCAGCTAGAGACTCTCAAACTGGATGGAATACTGGTTAGTACATTTATGTTTGGTTCTCCTTGGTTTTAGTGGGATTATGTTTAGTTAGGCCTTATTATTTGGTTTTCAGATGAACACGGAGAATTGTATATTTCCCATGCTTGAAAATCTCAAGCATTTGGAATTGACACTTGGTTTAGATGATTATTGCAATCTTCTTCAGTTAAATTCTTTCATTACAGCATCTCTTTACTTGCTTAAACTTGTGTTGAATCTAAGTAATGCTTTTTTTCATTTCTTTTAATTAAAAAATACAATATTCTTTATATATCTACAAGTGCCACCAAGGGAGGAGTAAATTGACCTCGGAACTTTAGGATCAGGAAGTAAATGCTCTTAACCACTCAACTATATATAAACCCTTTGCAAACTAACTAAAATACCATTTGGGGTTGTAAGACTTGATGGAATTGCTGGTTTGTTTTGGATTTTCAGGTGCACTTAGAGTTTCTATCCAATAATATTGGGCAGAAGAAACGATAAGAAAGATGCTCCACCCAAACGCTCCCATGATTACCTCGGAGAAGTGGAAATTAGACGGTTTGAGGGCTGCACTGTTAATTTCCAACTTCTCGATTACTTGACGAAGACTGTTAAACGGGAGAAACTCAGTATAAGTCCATCGAAGAGTATGGAACAAACGGCAAGAAAGTATAATAGGCTTGAAGCAAAACTGCCTCTTGTACTCCTGTAGGAGCTTTAGGCCATCTTCAACCGAAATGGCTAAACATAACCTCGTCCAGAATTATAGCCAGGAAAAAATTATTTTTAAATGAATAGTATTAGGCCATAATTCATATACCATCTCAAAGGGTAAACATAACCCCTCGATGATTTAATTAAATTACCATTAGATGCTTTTAAATCTAGTCGTTGAATTTCAATCAATTATTACCACTGGAGAGCTGAACCCCAAAAAAATGGCTAAGAAGAGGGCTATAGCAAGCCTATGAGCATATGGTTGAAATTTTGGAACCAACTTTTCGTGGTTGTGTACAAACATTTTCTATAAATCTGAGACATAAGTCGGTATGACTCCTAAACCGAGTATTTCTACCATTAGTATTACAAAAGGCTTTTGCTCTAGAATGCTATTTTTTCTATCTCTGAGTTTTTCAAGAATTTTGCTAAACCTCCAAAGTCGAACTTAAACTCATCCTAAATAAGATAAGTTCCTCCATAAAACATGAGAAAAATACACATGAGAACATCAACACTATACACAAATGTACGTCTCGGCTTGCTTTTGAGCCAGAAATCCCACGAGCAACTTACTTCCTGACCAAATGAGTACCAATACATTGAGTACCAATGAACTACAAACTCATGGTTTCCGATAATATCACAAACGTTTAAAACCAATTCAGCTCATACGGTTAGGCAAAAAGATTTTCTAAATGACACCTTAGAGTGAAAGAAAAAGACATGTCTAGTATATAAAGTGTAAAGAAATTGGGTTCTTGGTACACATAGTTCCTTACACATTAGGTCCATGGCTTTCCCGAGTATTGTCCACAATGTACTTTAACCTCTCAATTCAAGTTAATCAATCAAGCACCAAAATACCCAACACAAAAGGTTCACGGTATGTGTGAACCATACAGAACAACTCAAAAAACCCTTTTAAAGATAATAGCTTTGACCAAAATAAATCCAAAAAAAAATCAACCCGAAACAAAGACTATGAATTCAATAGAAAAAGAATGAAATACGAATAGCTGCTGATCCTTTTTTGTATCCACTCTACCAATTCATCACAACATGGGCCTTTTTAGGGCTACACTGTTGCCTACGTCTGACAAAACTTAAAAATATGAGTACAGAGATAACTGAATCTGAATTTCATCATCTCCAAGGTCTCAACCCTTCATTTGTATACAAACGAAAAGTCACTAAAATTGGTAAATGGTATGGAACTTAGCAGAAAAAATGCCACACATGCGAAAGAATAACACACCCCGCTTAAAAGAGTAACAGCCAGTTCATTTATAGATATAGGTGATTACCACAATGCTCTAGTTTTAGTTAACGACACCTAAACTACGTTTATGGTTTTCCCAACAGCAGAGAAGACCACTATGATCAAACCTAGAGATCACCCAAGTATCAACCAAATTTTATAATGTGAGACTAAAACATACTCCGTGCCACTAAAGAAAATGAATATTCTTTGTATGAGTCAGCTGACCACCTCAGTAATGAAATATGGAATTGAGACAGTTCACGATACAGTCTAACAAAAACCTTTCAGTGTGTGTTTTACCAACCCAAACGCTTCCAAAAATTTCAGAGAAAATTTCCAGTGATCTGCATTTATATTCTAAATGTGATTTGTAAAATTCATGGAAACCACAACCCGCGGCTCCTATATCACAATTCAGCACGTACAAAATTTAATTTACGTTTTCAGGAAACAATTATAAGAAAAAGAAAAATGCTAAATGGTATCAAATTTCTATGGTGTTTAATTTATAACTGACGCAAGAGCTCACATGCCATGTAAGTTTCATATCATTTAGAAAACCTTTTTTTTATACATCTAGCATCATTTTAAGCAAAACCCCCTACTAATCCTATTTAGGTTCCTCAGACTTCAACATATCTTAAAAGTCAACACTGTAAGCGTGTAAGTATCCAGATATGTTTCAAGCCCTGCTGCCCTTTATGCACACAGATTACAACCCTGGCTCCTATGTATCAATTCAGCACTTTGATTCTCTCCGCGCCTCTAAAACTTATATCTTCAAATGAAAAATTACAAGAAAAAAGAAAAACGCCAACCATTCCCAAAGTTCTACAATGTCTAATTCATAAACTGATGCAGTACGTACCATGTAAGTTTTCACATCATTTCGTAAACCTTTGTTATACATCTAGCATCATTCGAAGCAAAACCCGTTTCAAATTTATCCTACTTCTGTTCTTCAGACTAACTGTCAACACTCAACAGTGTATGCACTTCAGGCACATAGATGGCATCCTAGCCCTAGAAATTTTAATTAATGCATCCTAATTCTATAAATTTAGCTACTGATATCACTGCACAATTCAAATTACAAGCATAAAAAACTATATTAGAGGAAAGAAATTGATGAACTATTCGAAATCATCGACGAGTCAAAACATACAAATAATTGAAAAAAAACTAAATTATGAAGTAATCATCAAGCTTCACATCAAAAGCCCAATTAGACATCCCCAAACCATTATTTCAACTACATATCATATCAACAACCGAAAACCCATTTCAACTCTTAAAAAAAAAAGGATCGATCTCAGAACGAACCGGCATACCCAGATCGGATTTCAGTCAGATTCAGCCGACCCAGCAACAGAGAGGCCGGCCTGCTCGATCTCGAGCCGTTCGAGGGCTTTCTGGTGGGCCCAAGTCTCGATGGTGAGATCGGGCTTAGCGTTGAGGCCGACGCCGAGGATGACGATGGTGAGGAAGCTGGTGACGTAGCAGGGGAGCTCCCAGTCCTCCCATTTACGAGACTGACCTGGGGGGAGCGGGGTCCGATTGAAGAGGTAGCCTTTGGGTCGTTCCTCGTGGCCCGGGCTGGTCCACCGGCTCGGACCGGTGGCTGAGCCGCCGCGGGTTCGGAGTGCCTGGACGAGGCGCTGGCGGAGCATTGTGGAGGCGGGTATGGTGAAGACCTTTGCTCCCAGCTCGAAAGGGGGAGAGAGGATGAGAGAGAGAGGAAAGGAGTGGAGTGAGCGAGCTTTGGTTTGCCGTGGTATTGCTTATTTGATGGGCCTAGAATTATATGGGCCAGGAGGAGAAACCCAACCTCACTCACAGTAATCTCCTTGGGCTTTATTTATTCATATATGTTGTTTTACGTAACAATTTTGACACTCCGTTTAGTTCTATGCATTTTCGTTAGATGAGTAAAAAATTATAAACGATTTACTACTTAGGGATGAGTGAAGGGAAACTTTGTCCTTTTGCGCATTAAACCATTCTACTTTTGTACAAGTTACAAAGTCTATTTTCAAAAGAGTAATGCTGCACTTATCATAATCTCATCTAAAACAATATCTGTTTACACTAGCCTCTTTGCCTTTATTTCTGCTCCAGTATTCTACGTTTCACAATTCATTTTCATGTCACGGTTATAGTATAACTGCATTTTGTATCTATTTCACTCTTAAGTCAGATATTTGTAGCTTTAAAGGAGGATCTTCACACTCACCAGTAATCTCTGCAAGAACACATTCCTCCAACAATGTGATTAAACCGGTTTTTATCTCTCATACACATTTGTCTTCCTTAAATCTTCGGGACAAGCTTGGCGAAGTTATGGCAATCAACACAAATCTGAAGGTTACTGGCACTCTTTCAGGAGTAGCAATCATCCCAAAGGCCAAAACCAGTTGTAGACATCAAAATTTCGGTGAAATGAATGTTGACCAATAATTAAAATTTCAACGCTCACGTATCACATAAATTTTACATGTAGCGTGTGCCTCAACGAAAAATCGAAATAAATTGGAAAAGTCATCAAATATGACACGTGTCAATACCTGGCAGAAATGATTTATTTCATCTGATTATTTAAATCCAAAAATCAAGTTTTGGAATTCTATAAATAGGAGGCCAAGGCATTCATTTAGGGAGAAGGAAGGAGAAAGAAGGAAGGGAGAAGAGGGAAGAAAGAAAGAAGCCTTGAAACTCTAAAGCTCTCAAGCAAATCCCGAAGGATCAATCTTCGTTCTTCGTCAAATCCAACTCAAGATCAAGCCCCGACGGCCCTTGAAGAACTTCCACCAACGCAAGATCAAGCCCCGACGGCCCTTGAGGAAAGTGTTCATCGTTCATCATCCGTTCAACCTTCAAGATCAAGCCCCAACGGCCCTTGAAGAACTTCCACCAACTCAAGATCAAGCCCCAACGACCCTTGAAGAACTTCCACCAACTCAAGATTAAGCCCCGACGGCCCTTGAAGAAAGTGTTCATCGTTCATCATCCGTTCAACCTTCAAGATCAAGCCCCAACGGCCCTTGAAGAACTTCCACCAACTCAAGATCAAGCCCCGACGGCCCCTTGAAGAAAGTGTTCATCGTTCATCATCCGTTCAATTCAAGATCAAGCCCCGACGGCCCTTGAAGAACTCACACCAACTCAAGATCAAGCCCCGACGGCCCCTTGAAGAAAGTGTTCATCGTTCATCATCCATCCTCCTTCAAGATCAAGCCCAAAAGCCCTTGAAGATTCGCTCATCCACCAACCTTCAAGATCAAGCCCCAACGGCCCTTGTAGAACTTCCACCAACTCAAGATCAAGCCCCGACGGCCCCTTGAAGAAAGTGTTCATCGTTCATCATCCATCCTCCTTCAAGATCAAGCCCCAACGGCCCTTGAAGAAACTCCCACCAACTCAAGATCAAGCCCCGACGGCCCCTTGAAGAAAGTGTTCATCATTCATCAACTGTTCATCCTTAGATCAAGCCCCGACGGCCCTTTGGATCAACAATTCATCCACAAACCTACACCCTTCGAAGATAGAATCAGAGGACCAAATTACAAAGAGATTGTAACCCCAAAATCATTAATACAAAAAATATATTTTGTACACGTATTCTTGTCGCTTGTTTCAGGAATTTCTCGTGTTTACAAATTTGGCACGTCCGGTGGGATAATCTCTACCTCTCATCTCTATCCTCAAATCATCAAAAAATGCAAATGGCATCAAGAAAGGATCAAGCTGTTCCTGCAATCAAAGCAAAGAACAAGAACATCATCGCCGCAAGTGGTGATATTTCGGGCATCATAACCCGAAGTAAGGCAAGAGATCTTTTTGCCGCAGCTTCCGCCCCTGCATTAACTCTGTCAAAGGAACAAGAGCACCTGAGGTACGAGCCTGTGATCACCCTAGCCTCGCTAAGGGCATCAAAAGGGGAGAGCCCAAGGAAATACTCAGAGTCCCTACTCTCCGACGCTGATTCGAGCGGCAGTACAACCATGCAAGTCATGACCACTGGAGCAACTTCAATTGAGGAGCAGCTAGCTCAGATGAATGAAGCAATTGCAAAGCTCACACGGACTGTGGAAGAGAATGACTTGCAGATTGCCGCACTCGTCAACCAACTAGATGCGCAGCTCGACGTGAAAGTCGACCCAAATGTTGGCCTATTAAAGAAAGAAGGCGACGAAGAAGAGGAGCCACCAGCGGAGAAAGATGAAGAGAAGCCGAAGCTAGACCAAGCAACGGCATCCATGGGATCTCTCTCTATCCAGCAGCTACAGGAGATGATCGCAAGCACTATCAAGACACAGTACGAAGGAAGCTCGCATGACTCCATACTGTACTCAAAGCCTTACTCCAAGAGGATTGATGCTTTGAAGATGCCAAGGGGTTATCAGCCCCCAAAATTCATGCAGTTCGATGGAAAAGGCAACCCGAAGCAACATGTCGCCCATTTCATTGAAACTTGCAACAATGCTGGGACAGAGGGAGACTACCTCGTTAAACAGTTCGTGCGTTCACTGAAAAGTAACGCTTTTGACTGGTACACTGACCTCGAACCTGAGTCTATCAACAGTTAGGACCAGCTAGAAAGGGAATTCCTCAACCGTTTCTACAGCACTCGTCATACTGTAAGCATGCTAGAGCTGACCAGCACGAAACAGTGGAAAGATGAACCTGTCGTCAACTACATAAATAGATGGCGTTCTTTAAGTCTGGATTGCAAAGATCGGCTTTCTGAAACCTCTGCCATTGAGATGTGCGTTCAAGGCATGCAGTGGGGACTACACTACATCCTTCAAGGCATCAAACCACGAACATTTGAGGAGTTAGCCACCCGCGCCCATGATATGGAGTTAAGCATCAACCGTCATGGGAAGAAAGAACAGATCGCCGACTACAAGAATGACAAAGTTTTGGGGCCAAAGGTGGATAAGGCTACGTGGAAACCCACCAAGGAAGCAATGACGGTCAACGCAACTCCAGTCAAAATCCCTACACGAAGCAAGGCGATTCAAACCGAAGCTTTTCGTGATCAAGAGATACGTAGACGCACTTTGAAGGAGCTTGAGGAGAAGACTTATCCATTCCCCGACTCTGACGTGGTTGCCATGTTGAAAGACTTGCTTGACAAAAAGGTAATCGACCTACCTGAGTGCAAACGGCCAGAAGATATGAACCGTACTGACAGTCCAAGGTACTGCAAATTCCACCGCTTCATTAGTCATCCCACGGAAAAGTGCTTTGTGCTAAAGGATCTCATCATGAAGTTGGCTCAGAAAGGGATCATCGAGCTAGATCTTAATGATGTGGTGAAGTCAAACTATACCACCGTCACTTCTGGCTCTTTGAACTCAAAATCTTCACCTCAACCGCTGGGGGCATGCTCCAAAACCATGTCAGTCAAGTCAAGTGAAGTTGAAGGATGGACTTATGTCACTCCAAAGAAAATGCACAAGAAACATAGGTATCCTCCACAAGTTCACCAATCGGAAAGGGGGCAAAGCAGCTACCGTCAACCTTCAAAGCTACATGAAAATGTTGAGGATGATGAAGTTATGACACAAAGATCGTCCGTTGCCATCACAATGCGCGATTTCTTCCCCAAAGACTTCTTCAATCACTAGTCAAGACTCCTTGCTATAAAGATTGCAAGGAATGCTTCACTAAGATCGTTTGACAAATTCAAAAAGCTCCTCGTTCGCACGAGCCTAAAAGGCGACAACCAAAAGCTCCTTGTCCGCATGAGCATAAAAGGCGACAACAAACGCTCCTTGCCTGCACGAGTTGAAACTGCAAACGGCACCAAAAGCTCCTTGCTTGCATGAGCTGAAAATGCAAACGGCACCAAGACGCTCCTGGCCCGCAAGAGCATAAACTGTGTACGGCAAAATCATCATCAAAATCATCATTAAAACCATCACTCATTTGAACTACGTTATGACTTGATCTCTTCTTTGGAAGAGTACGTAGGCAACTTGAAACTTCAAAACTTCAAGTACAGTCACATCAAAATAAATAAATATATGTTTCATTAAAGAAAGTCAATTTTATTACAAAAGAAAAGAAAAAAAATACATATGTTACTATGTAAAAAATATATATATATATATATATATATATATTCTCTATTCAAAAAAAAAAAAAAAAAAAAAAAAGTACATACGTTGTTATGTGTTAAAAAAAAAAAAAATGTGTATATGTGTTATGTGTGTGTCCCTCGCGTGAAGCCCATCCGCACACAAGCCCCAGCTAAGGAACACAACCCAATAGCTAGGCCCACATGTTGCACACCAAATTCCAAATCCCTCCTCAATAGCAGTGGGGCGTCATTGAGCATCTTTCATGGTGGGTTGCAGTTGAATAGGCGTGTGGCAGCCATTGAAGTGATTACATAAGAACAGAGCCAAGAAATCCTTCTTGCGAGTTGAGACAGAGGACCGAGGTCTGTTTGCCTTCGGTTATGCTCATCCCTGTGAGGCACAAGCTATAGTTCAATTTTCCCTCCGAGTTTTAAGATATGGATCCCAGCCAGGAGTCTAGTCTGTTGCCTCTCCCTGATTCTCAGCAGACAAGGAAGCCGCATGCGCCACCAAAGCGGTTTGTGAGGAACCAAATTCCGGACTCAATCTTCCCCTCTGAGGCGTTTCATCAAATACCCAAACCCACTTTCCACCCGACCCAAAATCGGCGCCGATCCGATCTTCCCGGGCTCCTCCCATATCTCAGAGCAATCAATCACTCTCTCTCCCATG